AAAAAAAATAAGTTTCTTAAAGTTTCAGTTCAAAATTTAAATTTTGAAAGGTTGCTCATAATTTTTTTTATTTTTCGTTAATTAGTCATCTCGCCGACTTTAAGTGTTGGGAGTGGCGGTATGTTGGGGTCTTTTTGGTTTGAAAAAATCTTAACAAACGCGGCAAGGTCAAATCTCAACCCCAAGGTCAAATCTCAACCGGCAAGGTCGAATCCCAAGCTGGTTTCTAAGACCAGCTTGGGATTCGAACTCGCGCCTGGCAGTTGATTAAATAAAATTATTAAATTGAAAAAAAATTATATTTTCTATGTTGTGCTTGATTTTTAGTTCATCTCGTGATGTATTCTTATCGAATTATTGTACTAATAAAAAAAAAAAATGCATAGAATTTTAATTTGAATAGTAAAAGGTCGACTCGAAAAAAATCTAAACTAATAGCACTAATAAATTGAAAAAAAATTATGAGTCGACCCTTCAAAATTCGAATTTTGAACTGAAATTTTCAGAAACTTATTTTTTTTAGTCTATAAAATTATACCGTAACGAGAAAAAAAATAAAAAAAAAAAAATTCGATTTTTGACGATTTTTGAAATTTTGAAAAATTTGGAGTGACCTCTTAAAAATTTTTTTTTGAGCTGTCCTTTGGTGAGGGCTCTTAAAACCTCAAAAACTAACATTTTTTCACTCGAGACTCAAAAAAAAAAATAGTCGGTTTTTTTGCGCCACCCTAATAATTATATATAATTTTATCTACCAGGGAAAAAAATTTTATATAATAAGATATAGTTATATAAAATTATATAAAATTCTATATAATTATACAAAATCCTATATAATGTCTGAGCAGAATTTTCCGAAAATTCATAAGTTTTCTCAATTTTTTCAAAATAACTCAAACTACATTGGAATCACAAAAAATACAACTAATTGAGAGTTTGTAAATAGTAAAATTCTCCACAGATATAATTTAAAACATTTTTCTATTAATTCATTAATTTAAAAAATAGTGCTTCGAAGATGCACCAAAGATACAGTTGACAACACGTTTGAGGAATCTAATGTAATTTTTCAAATATTAAATACTTTAATATAATTAGCGTTAAAGTTTTTTTTTGGATAAATTTTTACTTATTTTGCAAAACGTTGAAAAAATCAATTGAAAAGGACTTTAATTGTTAATAAAATGTGACCAAAGTATCCCAGTACGATCTGACTTACGTTATAATGATCATGAGGGCAAAGTAGTTCCTAATAATTCGACCTGCTGTTATATACATAGTACATAGTAAAATAATAAGCAAACCTTCTTTGTTAAAATTTCCAAATACTAGTTAACGTAAAAAATCAGTCGAATAGCCCAAAAAAAATAGTCAATTTTACGTGGGTTTACTCGATTAAATAGCATTACCTTCAATTGGACTCGTGAGGGTGTTTCTAGATAATAGTTCAACAGAATATTATAAAATTTCAGAACAAACTGAATGACGATCACTATTTGTTAATTAATTATAGGCAATTGAAAAAATGCTAATTGAGTAAATTCTTCTTCCGAGCTAATTGATTTTAGATTTTCGAGGTGCAGAAATGAATTGTAGAGCTTAAAAAAAACAGTAATGTTTGTACATTGTTTATTGATTTTTTTATTTGATACATATCGATATATAGTGATATATGTCGATATTCTTAGGCTTGAACAATAGTAAGTGAGTAAAGTTTCCCGTTTGACCAATCAGGAATCACAGCTATTTATTTGCAAGTTTTGACTAACGGCGAACTTCAAAAATTTTCATCTATTTTAAAACATCCACGTCTGACCAATAGCACAAAAATGATAAACAATTCAAATTTCAGCCTAGTTTTATAAAGAAATGATTTAACTCTCGGGAAAAAATTCAGATCGCCTTGAAATTTTAACAGCTCACTCCTTTAATAGGATGATTTATATATAATCATATAAAATTATATATAATTTTTTTCACTAGAGAATAATTACAATAAAAAATAAAGGTTAATCATAAATAACAGATAAAATCACAAATCAAAAATTAAAACTACTACTTCCATGATGCTCCATGAAATATTGAAGAATTTTATGGCATTTTAATAAAAACCTAGCCTATCTTGTGTTTCAATTCAAATAAAATAAATAATGTCCCGCAGCTATGTCGCGTAATGCGGATCAGCGATAACGCGCAGGACTGGCAACTAGAAAGACTCGAGTTCGAACCCCGGCGACACCCAGAATTTTCCATTAGATATTTGATCGCAAATGTTCTGTGAGCTCCAGCTCCGTTTCTTTTTTAATTTAAAGATTAAAAAAAAATTTTTTTTATAATTTAAAAAAAATATAAAATTTTTTATATAATTTTATATAATTATATATGGCCAAAACTCATACATAATTATACATATATAATGATTTATATATAATTATATATAAGTTTTTTCCCCGGGATATATATATATATATATATATATATATATATATATATATATATATATATATAT